CATTTCCCATAAAAAAGACTGCTATAAGCGTTGTCATAAACTTGTACACATAAATAAGAATTAGAAAATGTGCTTTCCATGTGTGGCTTGGTGATTAAAGCAAAAGATCCCACATGACTGACTGTAATTCAAGTTCTGGAGTGGCAGCTTGAGGAACGCCTGCGGTGCCTGTACCTGAATGCTCAGGATCCCGGGGGTGGAGGGAGATAGGTGGAGGGATCATGCCGCACGGGGGCACTTTCTCTGTCTCTCTCTCTCTCTCTGGCAAGCACACATGCCTCTAGCATTGTTTTAAATTGTGCATTATAATAGCATATTAAAGTTTTGTTTGCTATTGACAGAAATTGTCTTGATATATTCTGTATGAACTTTTAGAAGCATTCCTTTAATAGTATAATAAGCAGTAATTTTTCAAATATAACTAGATATTCAATCTTAACAACAACAACAAAAAGTGGTTTCCAGAGCCCTACTCCCATGAGGGTTCTCTGAGGATGTTAGAGTTGACCAGATGCCTTTTCTCATGTAGGTGTCAAACACTGACAGGTTACAAGATGCTACTACTGGGGGGCGAGTACATAAACGGGGCAGATTGGATCCACTTTCCTTTGAAGTAGCTGTTACTTTGGCAACTAGATGGAATTGAAATTGCAGTATTATCGCCCTACCTTGGAAAGATATGTATCAACAAGATGTTTATGCTTGGTTTGGAGAAAATAAATCCTGAGTTACTACCAGTTAAAAACTAAAATTCCCACTTTGGGGATATTTTAACTCATTTATAAGTTAGAGACAATTCCTTTTTTATTAAGGCAAATAAGTTGGCTGATATATTTTAGAAGGATTTTAAACAGTAATCTTTAAGAATTCTAGCCCTTGAACCTGAAATCCCTTTCCGCACTGGAGTTTTGCAAAATGTCCACTGCTTTACTAGTTGATGAGTTTACTGTAATAGGTACAGCATAATTAGGAATCTCTGACCTTTGAGACCCCTGATCCAGATTGTGTATTTTGCCTGAGGTTGATGACAGCTATTGCTATGGTCCCAGCAGGGCTGGATTATTAGACCAAAAATATAAGGAAACTGTTCTCACTCTGAAATGAACTGTCCTTACAGATGTCAATGGGATGACAGTTTCCCACAGCTCTACCATTTGGCCCAAAGAGATAATGTTGGCATGTCCAGGTCACTTCCCCTTCAGTGTGCCTGCTATTTTCACTTGCAAGGGATGTAAGTTCCTATTGAGTTATTTTTCTGGCCGTGTTTGTACAGCTGTGCCTGTGTTCATGCGTCCTTTTGTGAACCTGCCCACTGTTTGGGGCTGCTTCAGATTTAGATTTAATCTCTATTAGGTCAGGGGTATAATTTGTTTAACTTGCTATATAGTGAGCATTTAATATGTTCAATTACTATAGTATTTCTACATAATTATAAGTGATAAAATATATTTTATAAATATTAAGCATGTTTACAAATAAATGTCATTTTTTAAAGAATCGTTTTATTTAAATTTATGCATTTTTTGTTTTAATTTAACCAGAGAGGGACAGAGAGAGAGGGAGAGAGAGAGAAAGGGAGAAAGCAAGCCACCAAGTCCAAGACTCAAACCACGGTCGGCCATGTGGGAGACTAGCACTTTTAACTGCCATGCCACCTGCCACCCCCACACATAAATATCTTCTGAAATGTATGATTGGGTTATGACTCCTGTTCATCTAAGCCTGGTATTTAATTTATATGCCTTCCCAGGTGGCAGTAAGAAACTTTGATCTGTGGCCCAGAATGTTCCAAGATAATTCCTGCAATCCTCTCCTTTATAATTCAGTATACTAACTCAAATGTTTTTCTCTGGTTCTAGTCTCAAGTGTCATAGAGTAGAGATCAATCTTATTGGGAGTTGGGGCATATGACACAGGAGGACAGAGGCACAGGATGGCAAGTTGGCTTGCATCTCTGTGCCTTTTTGCACAAATGCAAATACGACCTTTGATCCCTAGAGCTGCAGTGTCCACTTGAATAGCTGTTGGCCAGGTGGGGCTACTGAGCACTTGGAATATAGCTAGTCTGAATTGAGATGAGCTTTCCTCGTAAAACATCAAACCAGATTTTGAGATTTTAGCATGAAACAGAGAATGCAAAATATGTCATTAATGGCATATTGAATACATGTTGAAATGCAGCATTTTAAGACATATTGGGTTAGAGACCAGGTGGTGGTACAGTGGTAAAATGCAATGCTCTTCAAGACAGTCCTGCACGTGAAAGTTCCTAGGTCAAGTCTAGCAGCCTCCCTAAGAACCCCAGCTACGCGTTTACTCGTGACCAGGGGCTGACTGAAAATTGGCGATGGATCATAGTGTCAGAATCCTGTCGGGAGTGTGTCTCTCCCCCTCTCTCTGTGTGTCTCTCTTGCTCATGGAAGAAATCAGTAAATAAACTTAAAATGTTTTAAAGATATACTGGGTTAAGGGAACCAGCAGTTAGCGTAATGGCTATGTCGCTGGATTCCCACGTAGTCGACCGCGGTTCGTGTCCCGGACCCAGTGGCTTAAAACTCACGCCAGGCGCGTGTGCGTGCGTGCCCAAGATCCCGAGAGGAGAATGGAGGAGAAGGGATTGCGGCGTGACCATCCCCCCTGGGGGGTGATTTCTCGCTTTCTGTCTCTATGTCTCTCTCTGTCTGTCTGGCGAGCGCACGTGCCCTACAGTGAAAATCTCTCCAAAAAAAAAAAAATATATATATATATACTGGGTTAAGTGAAATAGATTAAAGTTACTTTCGCCTGTGTCCTTTCAGTTTTTTAACATTCATTTATTGATTTCTTGAGAGCAAGTGAGTGAGAGAGATCCCACAGTGTCGATGTGCGATCTAACCCCAGCCTTCAGCCGACCCTGGATCACGGGCAGACGTGTACCCAGCTTACTCAGGGAGGTCTTCAGACTTGAACCAGGAACCTTCCCATGTGGGATTGCCTTGCAGAATTTTGCATTTTAGTGTTATGCCATCTGGCCTTCCAAATTTTTCACTGTTTAATTTTTTTATAATTTGCTGGAGGAAGCATGTGCTCACTGGAGAGAGATACTGAGAGAGAGAAAGCATCCCCAGGGTGATGGCCATGGCAATCTCTTCTCCATTCTCTCAGGATTCTAGGCTCATACCCAGTGTGTTTTTCAAGCTGCCAGGTCCAGGACTGAAACTACACAGTCTCTTTGTAGAATCCGTCCACCTTAGCCACTATACCACTGGCTGGCCTTTCTTTTTTTTTTGGGGGGGGGGTAAATTTGTTAGAGAACATGTGCTTGCTAGAAAGATACAGTGAGATAGGGAGGGGGTGGGAGAGGGAGAAAGCATACCTAATGGGGCATGGTCACACTGCAATCCCACCTAAACCATTTCTTCATCCTATCAGAATTTGGGGCCTGCAAAACATGCACCCAGCATGGTTTTCATTGGGGCCAGGATTTAAACCACACAGGAGGCCACATAGGATTCTGCTCCCTTAACCAGCAGGCCATGTGGTTTTACACTTTTTATGTGGTTTTTAGACAACTTAAAATTACACATGGAGCACACATTACACTTTGATCAGGCACCATTGGTCTGAAGTGACCCTTAGTGGAGGGGAAGGCTCTTGTGGTGAGCAGCCTCCACTGAGGAGCTGAGGATGCTGAAGGGGCAGCCGAGGGAGCCCAGCAGCTCACAGGGGCAGTTACTAGGGGAAGGGAAAGCACAATCACCCTTCTGTTTAGGTTTCGTTCCCTTCTCAAATTCATTTCTCTCTCTGATTCAGTCGTGCGTAGTTAATATGCGACTCCACTGAATATAGATTTCTGATTTCAATTGGTTTGTTCACTCAGGTACCCTGAGGATAAGTAATATGGTATTTATGTCATCCTCGATTATTACAGCACTAGATGTGCCACTGACCAAAGGACTTCCCTTGATGCCATCAGCAGAGGAGGCAGATCCTGTTATGGCCCCCATTGGAATAGATTTGACTTGAGACCCAGAGAGATGAAGTCAATGGCAGGTCACACATGTAGAGGTTGACGCAGGCCATGAAGTTCCAGAATATGCCCTTAACCACAAAACCTTCTAAAACAGCATCTTTTGGGCTGGCCCAGGGGCCTAGTGGTTAAGGAAACCAGATCTCATGTGGCTGACTGCAGTTCAAATCCCAGCCCTGATGGCTTAAAAATTCCCAGGTGCATGTGTGTACATACCCCAAGTCCCTACAAGATGGAGGAATGGAAGATAAGCAATTATGACAGGACTATGCCCCATTTGCCTGTGGGGTGTTTTCTCTCATTCTGTCTGTGCTCTCTGGCAATTAAATTAATAAAATAATGTAGTTCTCTTGACTTTCCTCGCACAGTACTATGTCTGCCTCTGTGGTATAACAACCGCATTAGTCTGTTCTCCAAAACTTAAATGTGCTTTCAGTAATTTAGCAGTTAAGACTTTCAAAATGTTTACCGTCTCAGAAATTGGGAGCCTACTCTAAGGTTATGAATGATGCTCCTCATTTTCCCCTGCAGTTTCTCCCTCCCCAAAGTGTACTTGATAGTCTGCTTAAGAATGCAGGTAGTCTCATTCTGATTAAATAAGAAATATTAAGTACTCGCCATGCATTAAACACTGCCATGGACTGGGGATACAGAAATACAGATGACAGACTCTTAGCTCATAAACAGTTCTCTCCTGACCTACCGGCAAATTTCCACAGCCCAGCGGGTGTGCAGAGAGCTGCATGCCCACGGTATTGTGGGAGCAGAAGGGAAACACATTCAGCACATTGTAGGCACAGGGTGGAGATGCGGCGTTAGAGGGATCTCAGAGAAGAGGCGCTCCAGCCGTCTTTAAGTCTCTCACATTGGCTTTTCGAGTCCTGTTTCTGCCACATAAAAGTCATTGCTAGCAGTGCCTGCCCACCCTAGTGTCAACATGGCCTCTCCTGGGCTGCCCGGTGCATGCTGATCCCTTTCCTGTGGTCCTCAGGCACCAGCAAGGTCAACCTCGTGAAGATCGCGTCCAGGGCCTCCAGTCCACGGGATGCGGCCCTGGCTGCCGTCGTCTGCAGTGCCTTGGCCACTGTCCTGCTGGCCCTGCTCATCCTGTGCGCCATCTACTGTAAGAGACAGTTCATGGAGAAAAAGCCCAGCTGTAAGTGTTGGCTCCTTATTTCTTAGCATTTTGGTGGTGTGTGCTTATGTTTATCATCGTGTTTAGCTGCAGACTAGGCTAAGACAGGTGTCTGTGAGCTCTTAAGGAATCAAGGGCGTGCGAGCTAGACCTTACCGGCAGGCACAGGTTTACAAGGACACTGACAAGATTGGGGTGTCCCTTTGCCACGAGGCAAAAATTTAAATAGTTCTACGTTCTGGCACCATGAATACTCTGCATTTTTAATGATCCTAACAAGTTATTTCATATTTGTGCTTCTGTGTAAGAAGAAACGATCGAAATTTGGAATGATGGTCAATAGAAATACAAAAGCTTTTATATACAATGGTAAGATCTGCATTATGATGATGGCAGGGTTCCCTCATAGAGGAAATCGTATTCACTCACAGAATTCTCGTCTCCTCATTCAGGGTCTCTGAGGTCACAGGACATTCAGTACAGCGGTTCTGAACTGTCATGTTTTGACAGACCTCGGCTCAACGACTGTGCCCACAGAGCATGTTGCCAATGCCACCGAGAGTCAGCCCAGACCTGCGGTAAGTGCGGTTGTGCAGAGCCCAGTGTCATAGCAGAGTGAGGAAAGGGGAGCGCAGACAGTTGGCCATACTCACCGCAGGGTGTTGTGCTTGGTGCTCTAGTTAAAGCCAGTCTTGTTTAACAGTCTCCACTGACCACTGTTGGTCTGAGTGTTTTGAGTTTCTCTAGCCTTTCAAAGAAAGAAAGCATCCCAATAAAATTCTAGAATGTTTTGGTATCTTTGGAGGCAAATTTGCCTTTTTTTATTTGGTTCAGTATTTTTGTTTGTTTGGTTGGTTTTTTGTCAGAGGATATGTACACACACACATTCGGCATGATTTTGAAGCCACCAGGTCCAGGGCTCGAACCGTGATCAGCCATGTGGGAGTCCAGCAATGTAATTGCTATGCCATCTACTGGCTCCAGTCAGCCCTTTTAAAAAATTTCTTGAAAAGATAAGAGGTCCATGACAGGGCTTTTCACAAACCATAATTACCTCTTTGCTTTTTGACAGAAATGAAAATTTAGGCAAGTAATTCAAACAGAAATTAGTCTTAACTTGGGCAAATACTGGCAAATGAAATACCAACTTTCTTTGCCACTTATTTATATTCATTTGCACTAGGTTTTGACACTTACACATCCCACTCTTTTCCCCGCCAAATGACCCTGCCTCCTCTCCAAATTAAAATCTTAGGTGGCCAATAAGTTGCCCAGATGTGTGCCCCAGCCTCCCTGCACTTCTGCCACTTCACACAGCTGTTAGCAGCTGTGGCTGCCGGGCTGACAGCACCATCTTATCGCTGCTCTTTGTTTAAGTTAAACATATCCTAGCTAGATTGACTTATCTCTTATGCCATCCAATCTTCCCTTTCAAGAAATTGCAGGATTGAGATTTTTCAGTCTCCTACTGCACACATTGGAATAAGTTTTCAAGAACGTTCTTTTTCTGCTGATCATTACTACCTTCTATTTTACAAATGGGTTAAGAATAGATCTGAGACTTTCTGTGGTGTGCGTGTATATTTAGTTTTACCTTTTCTACATAGATAATAGATCTTACCTCGGGCAGCTATTGAGGGTAACTATGGCATGTTTTTAACACCCCCACGTAGTATGTTTTCCAGATACCATGCCATGCCCTAGACACTATTGCTAGAGCCAGAGTAAGGAGGAATAGTTCCTTGAGAGGTGAACACTTACTTTAAATGTAATAAAAGACAGCTCTGTGCGTCATGGCCCCATCTGAAAGGGAAGATTAAACACATAGCCAGCCTTGTAGTATTGCCCTCCTAACAGAATACTGAGGTTGGGAAGGACCTCCCAAGCTGATGCCCAGGTTCAGTATAGCTGATCATTTCAAGTGCTTTTTCCTTAAATAGCAGTCTATTTTTGGGACCAGCAGTTAGCGTAATGGCTATGTCACTGGACTCCCATGTAGTCTACCGCAGTTCACGTCCTTCACCCGGTGGCTTCACACTCACGTCGGGCACATGGCCGGTGTGCCCAAGAGCCCAAGAGGAGAAAGGAGAAGGGATTGCGACGTGGCCATCCCCCATGGGGGTGATTTCTCACTTTCTGTCTCTCTGTCTCTGTCTGGTGAGTGCACGCGCCCTATAGCAAAAGCCTCTCAAAACAAAAACAAAACATTTTTCTTTTCTTCTTTTCTTTTTTAGAGAGATTTTTGCTATAGGGAATGTGTGCTCACTAGAGAGACAGAGACAGAGAGAAAGAAAGTGAGAAATCACCTCCAGGGGAGACATAACCATTATACCATCATTTGGTCCCAAACATTTCTCTTTTACCTTTCCCCCCAATTTTGTTATATTTTATAATTTCATATCTATGTTTAATTGTTGTACATCTTTATGGCATACTGTATGTTTTGTTTTAGAGAGATTTTGCTATAGGGTTTTGTGCACTTGCTGGAGAAACAGAGACAGAGAAATAAAGTGAGAAATCATCCCCCCAACCCCCCACCCGGGGAGGATGGCCATGCCACAATCCCTTCTTCTCCATTCTCCTCTCAAGATTTGGGGGACATGCGCACACACACTCAGCGTGAGTTTTAAGCAGCCGGGTCCAGAACTTGAACTGTGGTCGACTATGTGTGAGTCCAGAGACATAACCATTATGCCATTTGCTGGTCCCAACATACAATATGGTTTTTAAAACATGCATGCAGTGTGCGATCATCATATCAAGGGTATTTTATTTTGACATACTTTCAGACTTACAGAAATGTTGAGAAAATAGGACAGATGATTCCCACTTTTCCTTTATCCAGATGCACCAGATATTAACAGTTTAGCTTATTTCTGCATTTTTATCATTTTTCTCCTTTACATCATTAAATATACACACACATCTTTTTTTTTTTTTTCTGTGTGTGTGTGTGTGTATCCAGACAGACAGAGAGAGACGGAGAGACAGAAAGCGAGAAATCACCCCCCAGAGGGGATGGCCATGCCGCAATCCCTTCTCCTCCATTCTCCTCTCGGGATCTTGGGCACGCACACACACGCACCCAGCGTGAGTTTAAGCCACTGGGTCCGGGACTACATATCTTTTTTTTTTTTTTAAGAATTATTTATTTATTTACATTTGTTATTGTTATTTTTTTCTTGATTTGACGAGAGAGAGAGAGAAAGGGAAAGTGAGAAAGCAAGCCACCAGGTCCAGGACTTGAACCATGGTTGGCCACGTGGGAACCCAGCGCCTTTATCCACCACACCACCTGCTGGCCCCACACACATCTTTTTTTATTTGCATTTAAAAATCAGTGGCAGATAGGACATCTCTTTACCCCTTAGTATGTCAGTGTTCATTTCCTATAAGTGAGAATATTCTCTACATAGTAACAGCACAATTATTAAAATAAGAAAATTGGGACCAGTAGATGGTGTAATGGCTGTGTTGCTGGACTCCCACGTAGTTGACCATGGTTCGAGTCTCGAACCCAGTGGTTTAAACTCACGCCGGGCGCATGTGTGTGCGCGCCCAAGATCCCAAGAGATTAGAGGAGAAGGGATTGCAGCATGGCCATCCCCCCTGGGGGGAGTGATTTCTCACTTTCTGTCTCTGTCTCTCTCTGTCTTTCTGGTGAGTGCATGCACCCTGTAGCAAAAACCTCTCAAAAATAAAATAAAATAAAATAAAATAACACTGAGTCAATGCTGTTATATAATCTACAGAGCATATTCATATTTTCTTAATTGTCCACAGCTAATGAAGATCTCAGATGAAACTGTTGCATTTTGTTCTTAAATCTCTTTAGTCTCTTTTAATTTAGAGTAATTCTTTAATCTTTCTTTGTGTCTCATGACATTGATATTTTTTTAAAGTACAGACGGTCACTTTGTGGGGTGACTCTCAATTTTGGTTTGTCTGATGTGTCCTCAGGAATACCACAGAAGGGAGGCTGCGTCCTTCTCGGAGCGCAGGTGTCCCTCTGTCCCATGCCTGGTCAGGTTAGCTTTATTCACTCCTATCTCCCAGGTTTCTCCTCTGTAAGATACTGTTCTCTTTGTCATTAGTAAACATCTCTTGGAGAGATATCTTTAGATCATACAGATACCCTGGTACTCCCCAAACTTCCGTACAGCACTTCAATGTCCTCTGTGATTCTGAATCAGGCTTTACTATAATGGTTATTCAGTTCATTTTTTTCCACATTTATTAGTTGGCTTCCTATGGTAAGAAAATACTTTCCCTTCTTCCCCCTTCAATGATTTACTTGAATTAGTTTAGGCTTATTTACCCTCTTCAGTGGGTTACAATCCTTCAGAATCATTATTTGTGTTGATGCACAGATTCTCTTAGGTTTGATCAGTGGACATCCCTACAGGGCTGGTGCATGTGCCATTTTGACATTTCCCCCATTATTCTTTTAGCACTTTCTTACTTTCTGGCACAAAAAAGAAGTTCCAGGTTCATCTTGTCATTTCTCTAGCCTCTGCCATTTCTGCAAGGAATGGCAGTGCCTTTTGTTTTTAAATAATTTTGCACAGTCCCATAGTGAGCACCACACGTGTTGTGGGGTTAACTGGCAGAGGATCCAGGTGAGTTCACCACAGTCATAGTATACACGTTCCGATGGCATAATACTGAGGTCCTGTGACAGAGGTTTAGATGAAGGTATACTAGATGGCCATCTTGCTTACCACTGGTTTGCAATTGCAGCTCAGTAATTGACATTCTTTTTTTATTATTAAGATTTCTTTTATAGGGTGTATGTGCTTGCTGGCAGGTGACAACTAGAGGAGGTGAGAGGGAATGTGAGAAATAACCCCCACCCCAGGAGATATGGCCATGCTGCAATCCCTTCTCCTCCTGGGATTTTTGGGCATGCACGCACATGCACCCGGAATGATTTTTTTCTTTTTTAATTCTTTTTTTTATATATACATTTGATTGCTATACACCATTTGGCTTGTAAAGAGAATTTACCCGATATGAAATATACCTCAGACCAGTCCAGTTGAGAATACTATATACGTGATCATCAACAGGTAATAAACCATTACTGGGTACCACAAATGTCTTGCCTCTGTTTCCCCCTCTAATTTTCTTCTCTATACTCTTCTCCTCTACCATTCTCCTTCCACACTGTCTCCAGTGTCCATAACTATTTCCAATGCTTTTATGTCCTCCAATCTTTCAGTCTCTACCATAGAGTGTGAACAGTTGGTATATATTAAGTGGAGACATACAATGTCTCTCTTTCATAGCCTGGGTTGCTTCACTTAGCAGTAAATCTTCCATGTTTGGCCACTTCCTATCAAATGCCAGGGTCTCATTTTTTTATGACTGAAAAGTATTCCATGAAATATATTTGCCACACTTTTTCCCTCCATTCATCTATTTGAGGACATTTGGGTTGGTTCTACATCTCAGCAATTGTGAATAATGCTGCAATAAACACTGATGTGCAAGTGCTTTTCCAACTGAGCATTCTCTTGTCCTTTGAGTAGTTAGGAGTGAAATTGCTGGATCATATGGTAGTTCTATTTGTAGACCTCTGGATCATACGATAGTTCTATTTGTAGATTTTTGAGGAATCTCCAAATTGTTTTCCACAGTGACTGAACCAATTTACATTCCCACCATTAGTGTAGGAGCATTCCTCTTTCACCACAACACCACCAACACTTATTATTTTTTTTCACTTTTTGTCATTCTGACAGAGATTAGGTGGTATTTCATTATGGTTTTAAACTGTATCTCCCCTATGAAGAGGGATATTGACCATTTCTTCACATGCTTTTTGGCCATTCATGTCTTAGAGAGTTTTTTGTTCAGCTCATTTTCCCATATTTTCATTGGGTTCATTGTTTTTTAGGAGTAAGCTACCTGAGTTCCCTGTGTATTCTAGTTCTCAATTCCTTATCTGAGACATAGTTTACACACACAAAAAAATTCTCCCCTTCTGAGGGTTATTGATTCACACCAGTTACTGTGTCCTTAGCTGTGCAGAAACTTAATCTAGTGTAATCACACTTGTCTATTTTGGGGATTATTGCCTGTGCTTTAGGGGTCTTATTTAAGGATTCTCTATGTACCCCAATGTCTCCCAGAGAGTCCTCAGTGGTTTTCACCAGTGGTTTTATTGTTTGAGGTCTTAAGTTTAGATCTTTGATCCATTTTGAGTTGATTTTTGTTAATGGTGAAACATGAGGATCCAGTTTCATCTTTCTGCAGAATACTCAGTTTTTCTGGCACCATTTGCTAAAGAGGTTTTACTTTTCCCACTGGATTGACTGGTATCCTTTATCAAAAATTAGTTGGCTGCATGTTTGGGGAGTTATTTCTTGGTTCTGTATTCTACCTGGCATGATTTTCCAGCTGACAGATTCAGAACTCAAACTGTGGTCAGCCATGTAGAAGTCCAGAGCCTTAACTATCATGCCAACCACTGGCCACTGGATATTTATTTATTTATTTATTTATTTATTTTGGAGAGGTTTTTGCCACGGGGTGCATGCGCTCACCAGAAAGACAGAGATACAGAGAGACAGAAAGCGAGAAATCACCCCCCAGAGGGGATGGCCATGCCGCAATCCCTTCTCCTCCATTCTCCTCTCGGGATCTTGGGCACGCACGCACACGTGCCCAGCGTGAGTTTTAAGCCACCGGGTCCGGGACGCGAACCACAGTCGACTACATGGGAGTCCAGCGATATAGCCTTTACACTAACTGCTAGTCCTTGATGAAAAATATTTTGAAATCTATCAGAGATTTTTTATAATAGCATTATCCATGAACTTTTTGAAGATCCCTGGTGTACATACACATAGATCATTTTTAAAGACTTTTTCTCTGTATATATGTACGTGCCTTTGTATGTGTGTGTGATTTTAGAACCTTGATGGCTTTGTAAAATCAGAATTATATGTATATGTGAATGGACACCAAAAAGTCTAGAAGGGCTGTTCACTAAAATGTTGACCATGTTTATTTCCAATGTAAAGGACTGGAGAATCATTTATTTTTAAATTTCTTACCTAATCTCTCTCTTTACATTAATATTTAAAATTTTCCTCTTCAATAAGCTTGTGTTATTTTTGTAACCAAAAACACAATTTCAGGCCACAATGGCTTGTAAAGCTTGGTGCACATTTATGCTTATTTCTTTAGTTGCATCTCTAGCAGTAAAAACAATTGTGCATGTATGTGCGTGTATTGAGCTAAGAATTTAAACTTTTTTGTGTTCCTGTTCGTGCAACTAGACCACTTAACAGAAAAGTCACACCGTTTCTCTTGTCAACTGCAGTGTATGCGAGTCTCATTTCACATTTTTCTCATTTTTTATTGTGATAAAATACATATAACATACCATGGACCATCTTAACTAGTTTAAGTGTACAGGTCAGAGGCTGTAAGCACATTCCCATTGTTGCACAGCCATTGACACCACCCATTGCAAGAACTCTTTTCATCTTCTCAAACTAAAACTCTATACCCGTGAAATAATGATCCCCAATTCCTGCACCCAATCCCTGGCAACCACCATTCTACTCTCCCTCTGTGAGTTGGACTATTCTAGGTACCACATCTACGTGAGTCATCATTCTTTTTAAGACAAGAAAAGAGAGATGGGGCCAACACGTGACATGGTGATTAAGGTGCTGGAGTCCCATATGGCTGACTACATATGAGAACTCAAACTATGGTTTAAGTTCTGGACCTAGTGGCTTGCTTTCTCACTTTCCCTCTCACTTTCTCTCTCTCATGAGCACAAGTGACCCATAGCAAATTTTAAAATAATGATAATGAGTAAAATTAAATGGATAATTCTTTAAAAAAAAAAATAAGAAGAGAGAGAAACCCTAATACCGTCATCCCCCAAAAGCTACCCAGTGAAGAATAGCTAAGTTTCCAAGAGCAGTGTTGAACTGAGAAAGTTCCCAGAGGGAAGCATTGTACCTCACACCTCTGCTGGTTCCCCAGGTCCTGTTCACTTGATCCCATCCCTGTGTCATGACGAGGCTTGTAGCACCGACCGGGGGCCTCTTGGTTGTGGGGTGCATTCTACGACCAGTCTTCAGGAGAGGTAACTGGAAGAGTTCATTCAATAATTGAACTTCCCTTATACAAATATACATTCTAGTAGAATTATATTAAATGTACCAATTTTTACATGAAACAGTGGGGCCATCACTTCTTTTACCAATAACATTCTGATTATTGGAGGGGGTAATTCTTGGGGGAAGAATTGGGTTAAGGTTGCTAAAATCCAGTGCAAAATTCCTTGTACTTTACTTTCTCTTAATTCTATTTTTGTCTTATATTCAAGATTTGTGGCTCCTCTGTCATCTATAAGGCATTTTTAACCTGTTCTATACTCACGACAATATTTTAGAATTTTAGAACAGTAATCATAGAAACTCAGGAAACTGCTTGTTTTAAACATTGGATTAAATGTAACCATATTAATTACAAGTAGGTATAAAATTCTGGTTTTAAAGTAAATGGTGTAATTTGACTGTATTGAGGCAACTTTATATAACAATAGGAGGCATTTGCATTCCGGTTTAATAAATTGCTATTTCATGTGGAAGACTTAAACTTAGAGCAGAAATGCTGTTTTATAGCAATATTTGTCCCCCCATATAGAATAAATACCCAAAGATCTTTTGAACATTTGTTCAGAAACACAGGTCCAGTGGGGGAGACGATGCCGACTTTCTTCGGGTCCCTCTCGCGGTCCATCTGTGGCGAGTTTTCAGATGCCTGGCCTCTGATGCAAAATCCCATTGGTGGTGACGACATCTCTTTTTATGACTCTTATCCTGAACTCACTGGAGAAGATTTTCATTCTCTCAATCCAGAAAATGAAAGCTCAACCTCTTTGGATTCTAGCGATCATCAGGATTTGATTATGGAGGCTGTTCCTATTCAGAATCATTCTGAAAACATTACGGAAGCCACTGATTTATCTAGCTGTAAGCACACACTGACAGACGCAGCTCTAACCCGGGATGCATTGACTGCGAGATGCCAGCAAGGTCAGGAGGATGGCGAAACCATCGACCTAACCTCTCCAGTGTCCCTCCAGGTAAGCCAGTGACTGATGGCAATGTGAAGACAGCATAGGCTCATGATAGATGGATGAGAATAGAACTCTTTTTCCACCATAGAATTTGGGAGACTCTGATGAGGTTTTCTATCTTTCATAATTTCTTATCTCTTCTGTGAGTGAGAAAGACAGAGAGAGACTTAGAGACAGCACCCCCAACAGAGTCTTAATGCTACATTCCACCCCTAATCTCAGCCAGCCCTGAATCATGGGTACCCAGGGGCCCAGCACATTCAGGGAGGTCTTTGGACACAAACACAGTACCTTTCTATGTGGTTCAGCCTCACAGAGCATTGTAAATCACTGCTATACCAACGTCCGGCCCTCGTAAGTTCTCATATGTTGTAAGAAAATATTTTCAATAAATTTCTAAGAGATGTGTTTTTCTTTGAACTAAAAGACTTAATCTGTACAAGCATGAAGGACAGTTGCTCTTTTATCCTTCTTAGTAAACCCAGCTCTTCAGTCCAGAGCCTACTTCCCCCTTCCTGAATGGAGAGAGATGGATTAGTTATGGGAGCATTTTGCAAATAATCTCTGACCTTCACATTTTTTTCTTTGATATTCGCATGCCTGTCAAGCTAATTCACTGTCAAGCTAATTATAATTTAAATCTCCTAAATCTATCTTTGATCCATTTTGAGTTGATTTTTGTTAATGGTGAAACATGAGGATCCAGTTTCATCTTTCTGCAGAATACTCAGTTTTTCTGGCACCATTTGCTAAAGAGGTTTTACTTTTCCCACTGGATTGACTGGTATCCTTTATCAAAAATTAGTTGGCTGCATGTTTGGGGAGTTATTTCTTGGTTCTGTATTCTACCTGGCATGATTTTCCAGCTGACAGATTCAGAACTCAAACTGTGGTCAGCCATGTAGAAGTCCAGAGCCTTAACTATCATGCCAACCACTGGCCACTGGATATTTATTTATTTATTTATTTATTTATTTTGGAGAGGTTTTTGCCACGGGGTGCATGCGCTCACCAGAAAGACAGAGATACAGAGAGACAGAAAGCGAGAAATCACCCCCCAGAGGGGATGGCCATGCCGCAATCCCTTCTCCTCCATTCTCCTCTCGGGATCTTGGGCACGCACGCACACGTGCCCAGCGTGAGTTTTAAGCCACCGGGTCCGGGACGCGAACCACAGTCGACTACATGGGAGTCCAGCGATATAGCCTTTACACTAACTGCTAGTCCTTGATGAAAAATATTTTGAAATCTATCAGAGATTTTTTATAATAGCATTATCCATGAACTTTTTGAAGATCCCTGGTGTACATACACATAGATCATTTTTAAAGACTTTTTCTCTGTATATATGTACGTGCCTTTGTATGTGTGTGTGATTTTAGAACCTTGATGGCTTTGTAAAATCAGAATTATATGTATATGTGAATGGACACCAAAAAGTCTAGAAGGGCTGTTCACTAAAATGTTGACCATGTTTATTTCCAATGTAAAGGACTGGAGAATCATTTATTTTTAAATTTCTTACCTAATCTCTCTCTTTACATTAATATTTAAAATTTTCCTCTTCAATAAGCTTGTGTTATTTTTGTAACCAAAAACACAATTTCAGGCCACAATGGCTTGTAAAGCTTGGTGCACATTTATGCTTATTTCTTTAGTTGCATCTCTAGCAGTAAAAACAATTGTGCATGTATGTGCGTGTATTGAGCTAAGAATTTAAACTTTTTTGTGTTCCTGTTCGTGCAACTAGACCACTTAACAGAAAAGTCACACCGTTTCTCTTGTCAACTGCAGTGTATGCGAGTCTCATTTCACATTTTTCTCATTTTTTATTGTGATAAAATACATATAACATACCATGGACCATCTTAACTAGTTTAAGTGTACAGGTCAGAGGCTGTAAGCACATTCCCATTGTTGCACAGCCATTGACACCACCCATTGCAAGAACTCTTTTCATCTTCTCAAACTAAAACTCTATACCCGTGAAATAATGATCCCCAATTCCTGCACCCAATCCCTGGCAACCACCATTCTACTCTCCCTCTGTGAGTTGGACTATTCTAGGTACCACATCTACGTGAGTCATCATTCTTTTTAAGACAAGAAAAGAGAGATGGGGCCAACACGTGACATGGTGATTAAGGTGCTGGAGTCCCATATGGCTGACTACATATGAGAACTCAAACTATGGTTTAAGTTCTGGACCTAGTGGCTTGCTTTCTCACTTTCCCTCTCACTTTCTCTCTCTCATGAGCACAAGTGACCCATAGCAAATTTTAAAATAATGATAATGAGTAAAATTAAATGGATAATTCTTTAAAAAAAAAAATAAGAAGAGAGAGAAACCCTAATACCGTCATCCCCCAAAAGCTACCCAGTGAAGAATAGCTAAGTTTCCAAGAGCAGTGTTGAACTGAGAAAGTTCCCAGAGGGAAGCATTGTACCTCACACCTCTGCTGGTTCCCCAGGTCCTGTTCACTTGATCCCATCCCTGTGTCATGACGAGGCTTGTAGCACCGACCGGGGGCCTCTTGGTTGTGGGGTGCATTCTACGACCAGTCTTCAGGAGAGGTAACTGGAAGAGTTCATTCAATAATTGAACTTCCCTTATACAAATATACATTCTAGTAGAATTATATTAAATGTACCAATTTTTACATGAAACAGTGGGGCCATCACTTCTTTTACCAATAACATTCTGATTATTGGAGGGGGTAATTCTTGGGGGAAGAATTGGGTTAAGGTTGCTAAAATCCAGTGCAAAATTCCTTGTACTTTACTTTCTCTTAATTCTATTTTTGTCTTATATTCAAGATTTGTGGCTCCTCTGTCATCTATAAGGCATTTTTAACCTGTTCTATACTCACGACAATATTTTAGAATTTTAGAACAGTAATCATAGAAACTCAGGAAACTGCTTGTTTTAAACATTGGATTAAATGTAACCATATTAATTACAAGTAGGTATAAAATTCTGGTTTTAAAGTAAATGGTGTAATTTGACTGTATTGAGGCAACTTTATATAACAATAGGAGGCATTTGCATTCCGGTTTAATAAATTGCTATTTCATGTGGAAGACTTAAACTTAGAGCAGAAATGCTGTTTTATAGCAATATTTGTCCCCCCATATAGAATAAATACCCAAAGATCTTTTGAACATTTGTTCAGAAACACAGGTCCAGTGGGGGAGACGATGCCGACTTTCTTCGGGTCCCTCTCGCGGTCCATCTGTGGCGAGTTTTCAGATGCCTGGCCTCTGATGCAAAATCCCATTGGTGGTGACGACATCTCTTTTTATGACTCTTATCCTGAACTCACTGGAGAAGATTTTCATTCTCTCAATCCAGAAAATGAAAGCTCAACCTCTTTGGATTCTAGCGATCATCAGGATTTGATTATGGAGGCTGTTCCTATTCAGAATCATTCTGAAAACATTACGGAAGCCACTGATTTATCTAGCTGTAAGCACACACTGACAGACGCAGCTCTAACCCGGGATGCATTGACTGCGAGATGCCAGCAAGGTCAGGAGGATGGCGAAACCATCGACCTAACCTCTCCAGTGTCCCTCCAGGTAAGCCAGTGACTGATGGCAATGTGAAGACAGCATAGGCTCATGATAGATGGATGAGAATAGAACTCTTTTTCCACCATAGAATTTGGGAGACTCTGATGAGGTTTTCTATCTTTCATAATTTCTTATCTCTTCTGTGAGTGAGAAAGACAGAGAGAGACTTAGAGACAGCACCCCCAACAGAGTCTTAATGCTACATTCCACCCCTAATCTCAGCCAGCCCTGAATCATGGGTACCCAGGGGCCCAGCACATTCAGGGAGGTCTTTGGACACAAACACAGTACCTTTCTATGTGGTTCAGCCTCACAGAGCATTGTAAATCACTGCTATACCAACGTCCGGCCCTCGTAAGTTCTCATATGTTGTAAGAAAATATTTTCAATAAATTTCTAAGAGATGTGTTTTTCTTTGAACTAAAAGACTTAATCTGTACAAGCATGAAGGACAGTTGCTCTTTTATCCTTCTTAGTAAACCCAGCTCTTCAGTCCAGAGCCTACTTCCCCCTTCCTGAATGGAGAGAGATGGATTAGTTATGGGAGCATTTTGCAAATAATCTCTGACCTTCACATTTTTTTCTTTGATATTCGCATGCCTGTCAAGCTAATTCACTGTCAAGCTAATTATAATTTAAATCTCCTAAATCTTCTCCCTTTTTTCCTCCCTCTCCTGTTGCTATTTTTTGGATGGCTCTCTGCTTTGACAAATTGACAGTTTGGAAATTGATTGGTGATTGTGATCTGGGACCAAATGCATCATAGCACCTTCATTAGAAGGGTTTAAAGTCAGGTGTGGGGGTGGTGACAACTGCAGAGGGGTGGGGGCTTTCCAGCAGGCAGCAAAGCTGGAGGCAAGAATTGAAGAGTAACTAAGAACTGTCTCTGCTTTCTCCTCCTTTGTTGAATTACTGTCTATAATAAGAAGGGTTTAAAGTCAGGTGTGGGGGTGGTGACAACTGCAGAGGGGTGGGGGCTTTCCAGCAGGCAGCAAAGCTGGAGGCAAGAATTGAAGAGTAACTAAGAACTGTCTCTGCTTTCTCCTCCTTTGTTGAATTAGACTTACTGTCTATAAACATTCCCTTAAATGGAAATGCATATATTATTAGTGTAGAATTGAAAGAATGATGTCAGCCTTGAGTACGAAAGGGTATATATAGCATGAAGACTCACAGGAACAGGTGAGCTCCACGGTCCCATGTGCTCCTGTCCACCAACAACAGGCTCCCATGCCTGTCCCTCCCTGCCCCAAGTCCAACCTGGGGTGCTGAAGACATGCTCTGGGCAGGCCACACATGCTCCTGAGTGGGCCCTGGGAGCTCCATGTCCTTGTCTAAATATATCAGAACCATGGTCTAAAGTCCAAGTGTGAATGCAGTACTTTGGTTACACGCGACTCTAAGTCTGCAGTACTTGTTTTAACTACAGAAAATTCTGTGCTGAATTTATAGGGAATATTATAGAAAATAGTTTGTTGGTTTTGGAGGAAAAAAATGTTAGTTTTGTTCTCAGAATGAGGGAAATGGAGAAGAGATAAGTGAAAAGAGGAAATGCAAATTAGGCAGTTTTTATCATTTTATTTTTTACATTTAATTACTGTGCATCATTGGAGCACACCAAAATGAATTTTCCCATCATGAATACTCTTCATATCTGTCCAAAGACATTGCCATATACATTATCATCAACATGGTTTTTTTATTTTAGGTCCCTTAAATGTTCTGCTTCTTGCTTCTTCCCCTTGATCCCCCCCACCTCCCCCACACCATTTCTCACCCCCCTCCAGCAATGACGATACTGGAAATTGGGCAATTTAAAAAACATTAACATACTTGTGCCTACCTCTGAGCTGTTCTTGTAGCTAGGAAGGATTGTTTACTGATCTTGCTCTTACATGCCATCCCAGAATTTGTTTAACTTCCATGATAATGAATGAGGATTAATTAACAAACTAGCCTAGTTGAAGGTCGGGCTCAAGAATGGACCAGGCCCATGAAACTTAGGGGCTATGGGAGGAGGCAAGGGCCACATAGTGGAGTATCCACTCAAGGGTGAGAAGGTACAGAAAATGGGGTGGGGCTTAGCCTTGCCACCTCCTCTAAATGAGTTGCCATCCCCAGTATCTATTGCATCTGTGCATCTGCTCTTAGGGGAAGGAATGAGTAGTTGGGATTATTGTGCTAACAGCTGAATAATGGCAATGTTTCAGAGTTTGTAAATAGAATGGAATATAAATAGAATTATACTCACCTTTATTTTGTAACTTGTCCCCAAGTTTGGGCTGTTCTTTCAACTCAAATCATTTTTAAAAGTAAGCTGTAATTACATCTAAAAGAATGTGATGAGAAAATGCACAATATCATTTGTTAATGACAGGTTTTATTAATTTTCCAAGATATGTTACCATTATTAGATAATTTAATAAATCTAATGTGACAATCTGAATTCAGAAAAAGAACTGTTAAAATATAAACTATTTCAATTTCTCCCTACAACTGAAATCAGTAAGTAATATTTTGAGCCCATGTTCAAAGATCATACTTTTCAGATTCCAAAAAACACTTTCTCTTCCTTCGCATTTACTAAATCTGTGAAAGGTGGTGAATTAACCTTAATCTTCAAAAGAAAACAGAATATAGTAGCAACTGCAAACCTTGAGACTTGGTCCTCTTCTTTATTTCAAGGGTCAGCTAAGTGTTTAAACCAACAAGTTTTATTTTTATTTTTCAATCTAGAGTCTAAAAAGCAATTCATGTTTTCCTCTAACAGGCTAATTTTCCAAAGTAGAAAACACATTTACTTCTTTTAAAGAGTTTGATTTCAGCAGCTTACTGTTATGAACCAAAGCTCAGGACTTCCCGTTCGTTTTGTCCATTCCTGGAGTTCATGTTTAGCTTGTCTCTATGACATGAACTCATAATTCAGGAAAGCTCTGTATTTCTTTCTATCTGGGAGATGTGTAAGGGGCAGCTACAGTCATAACAACACTTTTGTCTTTACTTGGTGTGAAGCTGTGATTTCTTACACATGATGTATTTGTTTCAGAAAACGCTTTTTCCACACTAGTTTTTTTTTGTGGGTGGTTTAAGACCACCCAGAATCTGCTGATGATAGCTCTGGTTCAGAAAAAAGCAAGTAGATGCAAGAGCCATCTTTAGATTTCATGACTCAATTTAGCTCAAATTGCCCCTCCCCCCGCCCCGACACACACACACACAGTTCCCCTAAGGGATCGAGCTATTTGGGACATCATTTGCTGAGATAGTTGGGAGAATGAAGCCAGCCTATTTACTTGCAGGAAAGCTTTTCTTGATTGATTTTTAAGCTACATTTCAAAAAATAAAGTTTATTCACTTCTTTCTTCCATGAGCAAAGAGACAGAGAGACAGATACTCCCAATAGGACCATCATGTGTGACCCACCCCCCACCTTCCGCAAACCCCCAGTCATGGGCATGTGTACACTGAGTGTGTTCAGGGAGGTCTTCAGAATGAACTCGGAACCTTCCCATGTGGGTCGGCCTCCCGAAGCATTGGGTCATCTACTATGCCATTGTATGCCCCTTAAGCAACATTTTTAAATGTCAACACGAACGAACAGAAAGAAATAAAAAGATGTAAGAGGACATGAGTTCCAGTTTCTCAGTCTATTAAAATCTCTATTTTTTTTCTTGTTGGCAAAATGAGGATAATTTGCCCCACACAGAAAAGTTACTGTGGTTATTATCATCACATCAGTTGTTCAAAATATTTAATAAAAGTATTTATAAATATCATTACTGAAAGTATGTCAGAAACTTTTATTTTTAGATCATCTTCTTAGACCAGGAAAAAATATTTTCATAAACCTATCCAACGTAGCACCCATGTCAGATTAGTGGTAATAAGTTAGTGAAGGGTTAATGCATGAAATTAGGTTTTATTCAGTTCTTGAAATGTGCAGGTGCCTTTTCCCTTTCCAAAGTGAGATTGGTGCCTTTTTTGATACAGACATGTCTAATCTTTGCTGAGGATATTTGTCCCACGATTGTGAGTATTCCATAGGGACCATTACAAGAGAAATCCCATTCCCAAACTATTTCTAAACACTCTCCAATCATTTCATAGAAGTTTTAACTTCAAAGGCTAAGTGGGCAAATAAGAATATCACTATTCATTAATTATCTTTGTTCTTTGAAAGAAAAGGAATCAAGTACCCTATAATCGTTACCTATAAATGCTTTAAAGGGGCACAACACAGAAGAGGTAATTTTTTGTTTTTTGGGTTTTTTTTTAAGAATTACTTATTTAATTTTATTTATCATTATTATTATTAGTTAATTTGACCAGAAAGAGAAAAAATGAGAAAGCAAACCCCCAGATCCAGGACTCGAACCTTAGTCAGCCATGTGGGACTCCAGCACCTTAACCACCGCACTACCTGTTGGCTCCAGAAGCAAGGTTTAAATATTTGAATATTTAAATATTTGAATGAAGTTGTAAGTCAGTAAAAGAATTGTTTGCTAATACATTAGGATTGCTCTCTGTTATATTATCATCATTTAAGCACTCTTTACAAACATGGATGACCATGAATTATGATGAAAATCTTTACCTTATTTTTTAAAGTACACGGGTACGTGGATATTTGATTACCATTGAATGAGCTTCTTAACCATACATTATTAAATTCATGTACACTACTAGTAAAAGTTTTGCATAATAATTTTTTACAGTTTCAATTTAGCAACTTCCACTGAAGGCTAAATTGAAGTCTTCCATGTAAGGCTTTTTTGAATTTTTTATTTGATGACTTATTCACATTTAATTGTTGTATATCTCTACAGCACACAAGATTGTTTTTCAAAGGATGCATGGAGTACATGACAATCAAATTAAGTATATTACCATATACACCATTTTTAGTGGAGGACTTTGTGTCCTTATTCTTTTTAAATCTTTCCTTCTGTTTCTGTTTTAGGAGGCTTAAAATACTTGAATCTTTCTGCAATAGAAGTATGTGGATGGAACCCAAAGGGCACTCCTCTGTAAAGCTTATAGACTGAACGCAGTCTGGACCTTGCATGGCTTCTGGGGGCAAAATAAATTTGAACCAAACTGATGGCATTTTAAGCCTTTGAACCAGTTGCTTCTGAGCCAGACCAGCTGTAAACTGAAACCTCAGTGAGTAACAAGCAAAGACATGCTGAACAAGAAGATTCACGGCTACAAGAGTGACTTCAAAGACTGATGAGTTGAATTTGCAGCTCTGAGATTGCAGAATTGTAACAAGAAACAAATGCATCTGCGCTCCTTTTCATGGCGAATGTGCTTTTACAAGGCTGAAAACCCAGAGTATAAATTTTCATTTATATTTTCTTTCCAAAATAATTTCATATAACTTAGCGTACTAAAAGTCAATGTCAGATTAATTACCTAAGTTTTTATGTAGGATGGATTCAAAAGTGAGTGTTTCTGTCTAAGAAGGTCACTTTTTCATCACCTAAACTGAGAGCCGAGGTTAGAATCGTGGCCCATCACCCTGAGATAAAAACCACTTAACCCAAATCGTCTAGAGACTTGAAGGCAAAGGTTATCATATTTATGTGCAAATAAGCTGCTATGGAAGCGTCTGCTACATTTGTTGTGTGCCTGAGCTTACAAGATCCAGAATTTCTTTTATGAAAAAAAGTGTTTCTAAACAAAATGATCTCGTATTTGCATTGTATCTTATACTAGAGGCTGTAGAAATTACAGTATATGGGCTTCCCCTACTACTGAAGAAGTCTTCAGTGAGAATATACTACATGTTAGCACCAGAAGAAAAAGCTCAATTTGTAGTGATGTTTAAGTGCACAGTCTGTCACTGCCAGTGTTGTTTGACCAGACATTGCAGTGTTCTCTCTAATCTTATTTAGTGCATGTTCTCCTATGTTAGCCAGGTGATGCTGAATTTAAGAGAATGGTGCTTTACTAAGGCACTCCATCCCCCACTACGTTGGTATTTATACACTAGAATTGTCCTTTGAACTGCGATATTAACCCAGTTCAGTCATGAAGTAGGAATCAATCAGTTGGCATAATGGCTATGTCACTGGACTCCCATGTAGTTGACCGTAGTTTGAGTCCCAGACCCGATGGCTTAAACTCATGCCGGGCGTGTGTGCGTGCGTGCCCAAGATCCCAAGAGGAGAATGGAGGAGAAGGAATTACGGCGTGGCCATCCCCACTTGGGGGTGATTTCTCACTTTCTATCTCTCTGTCTCTCTCGCTCTCTTTCTGGTGAGAAAGACATGTGCCCTATAGTGCATGCACCCTATAGCAAAAACATCTCCAAAAAAAAAGGAATCAGTCATTTAACCTCTATGACCTGGAGAGTACTTAACTGAGCAGATTTTTTTTCCTACATGAGAATACCTGGCCTTCATCTTTTAACCACCTACTATTAGCACTTCTCCATTGATACTTAAGAAATAGACCTTTGAACATCAATGTGGGAAAGTACACTAAGATATTTTGTTTTGGAATTGCCCAGCCTGAAGAATCAGTCTTTTTCTAACATTTAAACTGAACATCAGAATTAATGTCTTTTGTAGGGCATTTTTACCTTCTTGCTTGTTGCTAATGTCTCTTTGTGAGACAGTAAAATGGAATGAATCTCTTCCTTGTAGCCCTTTCTCTATTCACAGTGTCAGTTTCCAAGATGTATATACTAGCTGCCTGTGTTTGCTTTTTCTCACAACCGCAATTTCTTTCCCT